CCGATTGTTATTATTGGTACTGAGCTGTAATTCCTTTCCATGTTTACCTTGTTTTCTGTATAGTTGTTGTTGTCCTGTACATCCTGTGTTGTTTTACTGTCGTACTTATTTATACTGTTATGTTCTATACTATTGATCTTTATATTTTACTTGACCTCAGTAGGGCCCTGATCTTCCTCGTCACTACCCAACTGAGGTTAGTTTTGGCACTTACTGAGTACCATTGTGGTGTACTCATGCCCCTTCTGCGTATGTTTTTCATGTGCAGATCCAGGTACCGCTACTCAGGCCTACCATCCTTGAGAGAGGCGACTGCTTAGAGACTTCGAGGTACATCCGCCGCGTCCGCAGACCAAGAAGTCTCTTTCTATTCATGCTTTTAGTACTTAGTCCTTCTGTACTTCTGTTCTTATTAGACAAAATTCCGGAGTTAGAGCTATGTAGTATTTCTTTTTCATGCTTTTAGTACTTATCCCATATGTACTTCTGTTCTTATTAGACAAAATTCCGGAGTTAGAGCTATGTAGTATTTCTTTTTCTTAGCTTGTGATTCGTAGGTTTCCGGGTCTTGGATTTAGATATTGGTTTTGAGATCTATATAAAGATGGTGTATGTCAAACGGCACATTTAACACTGTTATTGCCTTATTTCTGTTTTTAAATTGTTTTACTTCTGCAAGTTTTGGTTATCTTCCGCAAGTTTAGGCATATCAAGACGTAGAGACTAGGTGCCGTCATGATGGTTCACGGAGGGCGAACCGGGGTCGTGACACTCATGAACTATGTTTGACCTGATTCTTATCACCATAAGATATGTAGGTAGCCTTACAGTTTGGTCATATAAAATAAAATATTTCATAATCCCACGAAGTCGAGAGTGGGTCAGTTTTTCTTAGAAATTCCATCTCAAAAAAAAAAAGAATCAAATTCCCTTGTTTTAGAAATTGGGGCAAATTTTTTAGAATGGATTCCAAAAGTTATAAATAAATTAACCCCGTTGTCTTAGTTATTTTGAGCCTTGATGATATCCTTTTCTTCTAACCCTGTCCAAAAGCTATATTACAATCCAAAAAAGACCTCCCATATAATCTTTGAGAGTGCTGAGTTGGCCATGCCAGGAGCGTATGATATTTTTACTATGGTCAATGCATTGTCATCTACAAAATCGGAATGAAGAAGAAGAAAAGAAAAATGAGAGAGTCTTATTGGTGAAAACCTTCACATGCACCATAAGGCGACGGTAAGTTGAGAGAAAGAACAAATGAGAAAGACTTGATGGTGAAAACCCTTCGGGCACTACAAGTCGAATAAGGATCGTGAATCAGATTGGATAATCGGAGCATTGAAGCCCAGTTTCACGGTTTAGGGGTATAACAAGAGTTAAACATTAGACTTGCTTGACAGATTAGGCCACATGTGCATGTCATGGTCATTAGAGTTGGTATCCACATCTGATAAGTTTCTAATTTGTAATTTTCTTGTTAGGAATAATCTCTTTCCATTGTCCTTTACTCTGTTCCTTTGTCTTGTTTACTTCCTCTTCTTGAGTCTGTTTGATCAGAACAAGTGAGAAATGACTTCAAAATTTGTCACCAGCTTTCCAATTGCACAAAACAGGATCTGGCTAACACATCAAAGTGGCATAAGTCAGGAAAGAACAACATGTGCACGGAGTTGGAAACAATCAACATGCTTTGGGATTCGTGTGAAATACAAAGGTTTGGTATATGTCAATTCATGAACAGTGCAACAGATCGAGGATGTTGGGTGAACGGATCAAAGGTATTTTCTGTGATAAGGTTGACAGAGAAAGTGGTTAACCAATGACAAGCAAGGTCTTCCAAGCGGAAACCAAAGTTATCATGGCTAGTGAAGGAGCAATAGATCTCAAGGCCAAGGCTAGTGGCATACGTAGGAAAGAATAGTACACGCACTGAGTTGGTAACAATCAACGTGCTTTGGGATTCATGTGGAATACAAAGGTCTGGTAAACGTCAATTCATGAGCAAAATGCAACAGATAGAGGATGTTGGGTTTGAACGGATCAGAGGTATTTTCTGTGAAAAAGGTGGCAGAGAAAGTAGTTAGTCAATAAACAAGCAAGGTATTTCGAGTTGAAATCAAAGTTATCATGGGAAGTGAATGAGCAATCGCCCTCAAAGTCAAGGCCACAAACCAACCACCATATTTATAAACTCATAAGTTTTCTTTGTTTGAAACAGAGACGAGAATTGTGTCCAACTCAAAGCTTAGAAGTTTGAATTTGTTCAAGTGTCGTGCCCAAATTTTGTTAGCACAAAGGCGGTTTGAGAAGTGGAAAGAAAAATTTGTTCGATCTATAAGAACCCTCCATGAGGAAAAGCATGATTCAGGGGCAAGGAATTTTGTTTGTTCTACAGAGATCCTCCAGGAAGAGAGCATGCCTCAGGTAAGTTCACTCTCGGCTTCTCAGGACCCTCTTGGATAATGGGATTTAATTTAAAGTTCTCAAGACCTTCCTGGATAATGGGACCTAGTTAAATTTTAAGAACTTCATAGTTAACAAGATTTAGTGTAAGTTCTACCTTTAGGAAACATAGTTTAGCTTTAAAGTTTTCACTCTTACGATGAGATTTAATTTGAAATTTTTAGGACCCTCCTGGACAATGGGATTTAGCTTTTGAGTTCTTATAGCTCTTTTGATAATAAGATTTGATTAACACTCACAGATGTTCCCAATATCAAAATAGAGCAGAAAAATTTCTATTGTTTGTCTGTTTTGTTGGAAATCAGGAGCCCACCTGAAGAACAAAGGAAAAGCAGTTTATGTGTTGGTAATTAGGAGCCCACATGGAGAATAAAGGGAAAGCAATTCAAGTGTTGGTAAGCAGTTCAAGTGTTGGTAATCAGGAGCCCAACTGGAGAACAAAGGGAAAGCAGTACAAGTGTTGAAAATCAGGAGCCCACCTGGAGAACAAAGGGAAAGTAGTTCAAGTGTTGGAAATCAGGAGCCTACATGGAGAAAAAAGGGAAAGCAATTCAAGTGTTGGAAATCAGGAGCCCACCTGGAGAACAAAGGGAAAACAATTCAAGTATTGGAAATCAAGAGCCCACCTGGAGAACAAAGGGAAAGCAGTTCAAGTGTTGGAAATTAGGAGCCCACCTGGAGAACAAAGGGAAATAGCAATGTTCAAAAGAAGACAGTTCAAGTTTCAACGGAAGACAGTTCAAGTTTCAAAGGAAAGCAGTTTCGAAGGAAGACAGTTCAAGTTCAGCAATCAGGTGCCCACCTGGAGAACAAGGGAAGACAGTTCAAGTTACAAGGAAAAGCAGTTTTGAAGGAAGACAATTCAAGTTCAGCAATCAGATGCCCACCTGGAAAACAAGGGAAGACAGTTCAAGTTTCAAGGAAAAGCAGTTTCGAAGGAAGACAATTCAAGTTCAGCAATCAGGCGCCCACCTAGAGAATAAGGGAAAACGCTTCAAGTTTCGAAGGAAGACAGTTCAAGTTTTGGCAATCAGACACCCACCTGAAAAATAAGGGAATTCACTTTAGAATGAAATTCAAGTCAGCAACAAAAGAAGCTCGTGGCAATAATGCGAGTCAACAGTCAGAGATGATTAACGGAAGTTAGTCACAATCCAGAATAAAAAAAAAGAAAGGCAAGAAGTGAATCCAAATGCAGAAGTTGATGAAAGATGTGAGCTGCTCAAGACATGACTGAAGTCACAAGCATGGTATGCCCGGTATTGATCCGAAAAGATGAAGAAGAATGAACTAGCACCTGCAACTAGCAAGCGTCAAGGTTCAAATCCAAAATCCGCATGAATAACCATTCAAGACTCAAGATCAAGCTTCAGGAAACTTATAGATAGGAATTTTGTAACTCATAGTTGACATGATTAGTTAATCTTTTTCATTTTTTGATTTTTGATGTAATAATAGGACCGCAGACCAGAACCTCGATGGAATGACACCTCGATCGGCTCTCCACCTCGGTATACTCCATCATCTCACTTACTTCTGAACTACACGTGGCCTGATTCCTTTATAGCCAAGGATATGTAGGCAGCTCAGATACCAGGGCTCGGTCACATTCTCCTTCCTCTCAGTTTTTGGTCTCCCTAAATAAGGGTCGGGTCAAAAAACCTGTCTAGTTGTTCTTTGTCTAAAAATACTTCGTGTTTCCAGTCAAAGAGGGGCAGCTGTAGACATGTGATTTTTGACCCTCCCCAAGATTTTTCATATTTTAGCATGTAAATATTTAATTTATGCCTAATATCGATATCTCAACTAATTTTGACTCTTTTACTTTATTTTATTACAAGAAAATGAAAATTACAAAAAAAAATAGTTTCATTAATGCTTTGTAGTCATTTTTAATCTTGAAAAATACCAAAAATAGTTTTGTTTTAACAGTCAGTCTTATTTTAATAGTTATTTTACTTACGTTGAATTAATTAATAAATGAGATCGTACTTTTAATCTCGTTCGTGGGGAAATAATAAAATTTGGGCTCAAACGACCCATTTTTAGGCCTAATTTTCGGATCTAGCCCATAATTCCCAAGCCCATAATTCCTAGGCCCATACCCCTTAACCTAAATATAGAACTAAAACCCTAAGCCTATAAAAAAGATCTAAAAAAAATAAGAAACAAATCAGCCGCAAACCTAAAGTCCATAAGTGAAAATACAAAAAAAAGCCTAAGACTCTCAAGACCAAAATCAGACTTAGGGGCAAATGAGATCAGCGCCGTTTTTACAAGACCCCTAAAACCTATACACACAGGAGAATTAGCGCCGTTTGAACAAAAAGAGACGACCAACCCCCCATCACCACCTTTCTTCGATCTTGAGAACAAAAAAATCCCTCACCCTTCCACCGTCAAACACACCTAGAACTCCTCCATAATAGCTCCAACCTAACAATGGTACAGACACAATTAGCGACCTTCGCTGACTCCCCCCCCCCCCCCC